TGGGACACAATGCCAGATGTCACCGAGAGGCAAGGAAATGGCCACTCTGAGAGCCATGGAGAACCTCTGCATGGGTTTTTTCCTTAAGCAGTTCTTTCTAGCAAATAAAGCACAACAGAACTCTAAGGAGTGGAAGGCCCTCTCTCCTGTTCAGACCCACGACCTCAGTTACACTGTGCCCCCGTCAGCCTCCATGCTGAAGGCTAAGCTTGGCACGGATGGACATGATCTCTTCCGACTCTCAGTGGACACTGGCAAGGAGAGAGAAGGATGAAGCTGGGCATGGCAGTCGATGCCAGTAACACCAGCAGCGGGGGAGGATTGCAATTTCTGTCTGGCCTGGGTGACTTAGTGATTTCAGACACTTTCAAAATTAACATAAGAAAAAGCATGGGAATGTAGCTCAGTGCAAAGGCCCTGAGTTCAAGCCCCAGTACCACAAAATATAAAAATTAAAAGCCATCAAGACCCGATTAGCTCACTGCCTCTGGCGCCTGACATGGGGTCCCACAGAAATATCTTTGCCTGGCCCAGACCTTCTGCTGGGATCATCCTCCTCGTTCTCTGTTTCCATCCTTCCCCCTTTCCTGGTCCCCACTAGTGCCACTTCCTCCGGGGGGCCTTCTGGGTGGGCTCCAGGACATCACAATGTTTGTTTTTTTCCCCAGAGCGGACAGAATTGAAGAGCTAACGTTGATCATAGACAGCCGGATGCTCAGATACCAGCCAGTTACCCTTTACTGCTTGTATTTGCGTGTCCTGCCAATCAGCTTCCACGGATTATTTACTGAGTCCCCATAGCTGCCTTAAAGATACGTGTGTGATCACTTCCCGGTCTTTTGGCTAAGATCAAGTGAAGATAGGTGCGTTACTGTGCTTCAGTAGAAGAGGAAACTGAGGCTCAGGCAGAAGCTCTGTTTGCTATTTGGCTAAAGGAAAAGGAAGAGGAGTCACAGTGCTCTCTGCGCACAATGCGTTCGCACCTCCCGCCCATGACTGTTCCATCACCGCTGCTCTTAATACCCGGTTCCCTCCTGGGTGGGGGTGCCCAGCTGAGCCTCCTCTGTCCCAGCACCAGGCTGGCCCTGCCTCACGGCGGAGAAAGGCCACCTCTTTCCTGGGGGCACCTTTCAGATCTATTTTCAGCTACTCTTTTTCCATTTAGATCCCGAGTGCTTGCTGCTGATTCTGAAGATGCTTCTGCCACCTGCTGCTTCTTGTCCTGTACTCCGTGGGAGTCACCATGGGGTCCCCTGGGGCCCCAGTCCTGGCCGGCAAAGTGCTGCTCGGGCAAGGCGTGGGGACAAATCCTGCTGCAAGGTGCAGAGCTGGGGTGCAGCTCCTTCTGGGGACTGCTTTTGGCTCTTTTAAAACATCTTAAAGTTGCCATTTTGTCATTCTCAAAAGTTTAAATGGAAAAGGATATTAGTATGAATTTAGACCATTTTAAACACCTTTTTTGGAAAAAGTTTCAAACTGCATGGGCCATTTTCAGATGTGAAACTCCATCTCACAAAGGGGGAAGGAGGATCTAACTCTTCAATATCCAGGAAAGCAACCAAGATGTCTAGTGCCTCGATTTACCTGTGGGCCCAGGGACCCTGCCAGGGGCTACACTGCATCTCCGAATTCATATGTTGAAGCCCTAACTCCAAGGGCCTCAGAATGCGACTGTATCTGGTGGTAGAGTCTTTTCTTTTAAAGCAGTTTAGGTGGCATGAGTGTAAGTGCTGATGAAACATGACAGGTGTCCTAAGAAGAAAGAGATTAGGGCACACATGAAGTCACGGTGAGAATGTGGCCATTCACAAGTCACAGAGAAAGGTTTCATGAAAAACCAACCTAGTGACACCTTGATCTCAGCCTTCTGGCCTCAAGAGCCATGAAGAAATGAATTTCTGCTGTTTAAGCCACTGAGTCTGTGTTTTGTGCCTTGACAGCCCAAGCAGGCGAACACAGATTTCACACGGTGGCTGATGCCACACACAGTTTAATCTATGGCTTCCTGTGATCTTAAGTCTTCAGTCTAAGAAATATTTTAAAAACAATGACAAATTGATGGTTGGAATGGAAAAGCATAGTGCAGACACCAGCCTGGGATTTCACAATTGCCTTTGAAAGATTCTTCCAGGGGAGTAAACTTGAGCCACACAGGAGACAGGCACCGCGAAGCTGTGTCACTGAGACTTTTACCTGTAGTTCTAGGAACTCAGAGGCATCTCAGCATTCAGCCTTCGCATAGACCACTAAGCCACTTCTAAGAACAAGGCTACCTGAGGCATTTTGCAAAACTACACATATACCAAGGCTTTTCTCACCCTAACCTACCACAGCTCTTTTGGTCGACATTTTGCACTCTGGAGGGGACCAAGTTGGGGCTCTGCAAGAATTTCGTATAACAAACCACATGTGATAATTCCAGGGAATCTCAATCGCCTCTTATCTCCTTGGCTGAGCAGACTGAGAGCCTGGTGTGGTATGATAGAAGAAGAGCCGTGTTCTCTGTGGTAGACCACATTCATCTCGCGTGCCAGTTTCTGCGACGCTGGCCCTGCTCTCGTGAGGGAGGGGACAAGTGTTTGCTTGGTTCCACATCTCTCTTTCCCCTGTTTCCACATGGGTATCTGGCCGAAAAGGAGTCACCAGTTTCCTTCTGTGAGAATTGCAGAGACTGATAAAGCACCATCCCAGGAACAAAGCGAGATGCTGGGGAGGGGATGCAGGCTAGGAGTTACAGGCAGAGAACTGATCACGTGTCGCACCGCAAGTGTCCGGGCTTGGGAATGAACAGGAAAGAACCATGGCGGGGAATTGTTGGTGGGATGGTGATGCGGTCCTACCCCAGGCTCTCGCTAAAGCGATGCAAACAGCACCCGGAGAAATGATGTTTTGCAACCTCCCTGGCTTGGACATCAGGTGGGGACAACTAATATAAACAATTTACACCCCTGTGTCGACCAATTGCTTGGATGAAATAACCAGGAGGTTGCTAAGGTGTCACGGACCCTCTGAAACTAAATCTTCTTATTATATGATCAGGCAGGAGATCCTAAAAGGCTCTGATGTCCTTTTGCAGAGAGGAAGGAGTGCAGTCTTTTTAGATCAGCCCTTCTGAGTCTCGGGGTTAGCTAGGGCCCTGTCCAGTCAGCCCTTTAAAGTCTGAGTGAGCCTTGCTGGAGCCAGAGCTGATTGTCCTGCGGTCATAGCAGTTGGAGGCTCTGCCAGGACTGGGATCGCTCTATTTCCTGGTGTCTCCACAGATCACAGTGTCCCCTAATTATCTTCGTTGTTGGCTAATTAGGACATCTCTGAAACCCAGCCCTACGTGCTGGTATCCAACCTATTGCCCAGTAGAATGTTTAAAAAGTTCCTGAATCTGCCTTCCCGAGTTGATAAACTAGGAAACAATACATGTGTGGAGAGGGTATTGAAAGCAGACAAAAGGCAGGAAGGTCTCTTCTCCTCTGTTATTCTACAAAATATTGCTTCCTTTGCTTGTTAGCAGCCCAGAGGAAATGCAGCCAGTGAGCAGTTCGCAGCTTTACACCCGGGGCCGGAGTCTCTGTCCCTGCCGTTTCATGCACGACTACAGAACGTGTGACTCACACCATCTGCCTGATTCAACTTCACTCCATGTACTCAGCTGCCAGGAAAGGAGCTCTCGAAAACCCTCTAATTTGGAACTTGGACTTGGCTAATGACTTGCTTTCTTTTCTTACTCACTCAATCCTCCCCCCACTACACAAATACACATCTTTGTCAAATTTTTAAATTCGAGGGACCCGGAAGCGTAGAAGCTCTGTGGCACTCAAACAGCATTTGTTGTGACAGAGGGGCTGGCAAGCCCTCGGCGCTCCCCTGATCACTTAGCTGTAGGAATAAGTAACGAATCACAGATACTCTTTGGGTGTGCGCGAGAGTTTGAGGCCAGAAAATTAACTACTCCCCTATCCGATGCTGGGCCATCCCAGCTCTGCCAAACCATCAAGCCACGTTGCGGGGACACTGGTCAAAGTGTGTGTTCTGACACATGGCAAAGCCTTCCTGACATTTTTATGTCATTATTTTTGTTTGTTTAAGCAAAGCCCTCTTTTACCACTAAAGAAACACATGCTGCTGTGCACTGTCTCTCCCTCCCCCCTCTCCCTCACACACACACACACACTCTCTCTCTCTCTCTCTCACACAAACACACACACACACACAATACTGAAGTTCAGCTTTGCACATTTCAAGAGGCTGATTGCAAAAGTGCAGACGGGTTTTGCACACTAGTCACGCTTGTTCCTAAGCGTGCAATCTGATGATTTCAACTACAAGAACACTTAAGAAATGTCTTCATTGCTCTTTTTGAGAGACACGAACTTGCCTGCTTCCTCTCTTGAAAGAAGCCTGTTTGAAACTGAGGCTACCAGGAAACACAGCACACCCCTAAACAAGTCTGCTGGATCCTGTACTCTGCGTTTTGGAGACAGCCGAGTTGCCTCTTGGGCCTAGACTTCCCTGAGGTGGAGGGAGGCTATCTGTGAGACGCCTCCACCTCCCCACTTTGGCACCAGCCCTCCTGGCCGGCTCAGTACATGTGCCTGCTAAGCCCCGGGACGGGCTGCACTGCAGCACACTGAGTCCAGGATAACTCAGAGTCATTCCAGGGAGGGGACAGCCAAATAAAATCCAAGGAGCTTCGTGCACTTTTTCTAACCTCTAGGACTTTCAACAAGACAGCACAACTTGCTTACACTTGACACAATTCTCAAACCGCCACTGAGCACTCCAACAGCTTAACTAAGCATTTCTTAAAACATTTCTGAAGAGTTGCCATGCAATGAAAAAGTAATCCAGTAGCCTCAGATCACATGCTTCTGTGTGAATCCCTCACACCAAACAGACAGGGCACCGGCCGGCGCCCAGGGCTCTCTGCACCCAGCTCCAAGCGGCTGCCATTTCGTTCCATGCAGAGCTGAGCTACGGTAGATATTAAAAGACCAGCGTGTACTCACCTCTCATGAAGCACTGTGGGTATGAAGGAAATGACTCAAATATGCTGTCTGAAGCCATTGCTTCCTTCTGAAAATGCACCCTCTTCTGAAGGCGGGGGATTCAATGATTTACCTTTGGAGCGAAAACCAAGAAAAGTCACGGTTGGAACACCACCTCCCACCATAGTACCTTAGATCTTTTTTTAAATTTTTTTCCTCCCCTCCTCGATACCTCTGGGGGCTCCCTGAGCCCTATGAAAACTGTACCTTTGTGAAAACAAATATTCAAATTGTTCAAGCTTAAAAAAAAAAACAAACAAAAAACGGCGCCTTGTCTGTGGGTTGGGGATGCTTACCACTCTACGAAACCCTGTGGTTTGCATTCAGTGTGATTCGTCCCGCCTGCTGACCACTATGCCGGGCTCAGACTTCTGACTCTGCCAGGCTACCCAACTTGTGGTTCTGTGGTTGTTTATGAGGCCCAAAGAAGTTTTCACACAACCCAAATTACAAATTTAACTGTTCCCCTTTCCACAACCTATCTCTATTGGTTCTTGCCAATCATGTGACCTAAGTGATGTCAAAAAGAATTTTTTTTTGCTTTCTGAGCAATGCCCTTCCTTCCCTCCACCTGCCCTCCCCCAGGCTGTGTAAGAAAATCATCGAGCAGAGCTCGCAAGACAGGGAACGTGAAAGAAAAGTGACTCAGTCTCTTATTATATCAGTGCTCTTTGCTGACTGAGTGCAGCTCGGCTTCTGTTGTTATTTGTGGTTTTTGGAACTACTGATTATTTTGATAAAGATTTCGTTGCTGCTTATTCAATTGTAATTCAATGCTGGCATCAAGCTGCCGTGGAGACAGGATGTGGCTCCCATCACTTGAAATGCTGGGCATCAGCACTGGGAGAGTACAGGCCTTGGTAATGATTATAATAGCATAAGTGAAACTATAAAAGGGGAAAATAAATAAGAGGAAATATTTCAGTGAAAGTCTGATCCCTAAAAGAGCCTGGAAAAAAAAAAGATTCTTAATTTTGAAATGAAAAGATCATTTTAACAAGACCCAATTTAAGATGTTTTTATTTCTCCTAAGTGGACATCTTTAGTACATACTCCCTTCAGAAAAAGAGAGAAAGTCGTAGCGCGGCCCTCATGCCCAGCCCAGTACAAACACTCAAATTAGGAAACTAAAGGAAAATGAAGGAAGGAGAACGTGTGTATTCAGGACGAGGCAGGGTTACTCTGCAACTGTTTTTTGTCACCTGCCAGGGTCTGCTGTGGGGCCTTTTTCTAGTTCAATCAATAGGCCACTGGAACACCTGTGGTTGGGTGAAACTACACTCTGAACCTACAAAGACTTCACAATAGCTAGAGAAACCCAGATCAAGCATCACCAGGGCACAGCCCTCTCTCACAGGGCTGCCTGGCAAAAGAGACAGCGTTCATCCATCAGATTATGAAGCCACACTTCTTTGTGGAGCCAAAAATAGGATGTGGGCCAACAGTTCTGCTCACACATCTCTATTTATTTTTTTCCTGCCCATCAGTTTTACCTGCTGAAAAATAAAGCATTGTCCTCTTTGGAGTTCTGGGACGAAGAATGACTTTTCTTTTGCCAAGGAATTTCTTTAGTTCATTCTGATCTTCGTCCACCCCCGGCTGCCTACGTGACATGTAAACTTCTGGCACAAACACTCGAGCGAAACTGTGAATAGCAGGCCAGAATACCAGCTCCAAATTCCAAGCACAAGCCAGCGGAGGTATTTTAGAGTCTGGACACCTCAGTAATCCTAAACTTGTCTTCACCCGGCAAACTCTGCACACCCAGACACCGACAACATTATTTTCAATGACACACGTCTTTCAAGGTAGATATGAGTTTTACTTACTCCTGTTTTGACCAGACCGGGAATTGAAACTCTACAGACTGCTTTCTCCCAGACTGCTGAGAAGTTAGTTTGCCCTATGTTGGCAACTTTGCTCACATTTTAAGCAAATAAGAATGTCTGTATTTCTTTAATGAAGCTTGTTCGTATCTAAACACAATGCATGTTTCATAATTGATTCTCAATGCAAATCCCTTGCTAACATGATCCACCTGTGTTCCTGGGTTGTTACAATCCTTTAAAAAGTCCAGCCTGAGTCAAGGGCCCTTCGAGGTTTTGTTCTCTCTTCTCCTCTTACTCTTCCCCGGAAGAGTATGGGGCCGAGGCTGTAACTGCAGCTGCCATCCCAGAGTCAATGCAGGCTTCAGAGTGATTAAGAAATTTGAGTACCAAAGTAGAAGCAGATTAATCCGTTGGACATTTCATTTTAGAAACTCCCTGGATGCTTCTAGCCTTAGGTGTCCAGATGCCTGAGAGGAGACTTTGGATGTGTCCGCTAACTGCCTGAGTTCTTGGCTTTTCTTTTGGGCAAGCTGTAGTTTAATACACATCTTTCCTGGGGTCGGGGGGGGCGCTCACAGGAAAGATCAGAGTTTGAAGACAGTGGGACTCTGTCATCCCCAGCTGGGCTTTTGCAGGGCACCAGGGGGCAGAGTACTGAGCTATGTATCAGCCCAGCACCGCCTTCCTGGGCTGAACTGCTACAGCAGTACCGCAGAATTTCACAGCTCAGTGAGGCAGCATTTAGGAATCTTCTGTCCAGATCAAGACAATAAGTGAAGACTCAGTGGGCTGCTGGTGAACTTAGGTTTTCCACTTCCTTAGGAGCCCAGGGTGAAAAGACACGGCTGTCATCCTTGAACTGCCTAGAGAAATATTTAATCTCATTTTAACCAGGGCAGATTAGGATTCTTTAAATTCAGCCTTGACCCCACACCCTTTGTCTTCATTCTTACAAGTGACTCAGACCGGTGGCTGTGAGCTCGGGAATTGTCCTCAAGCATCTGCAGAGGACTGTGGCTCTGCCAAGTCCATTTGATGGCAGTTTTATCCTCGCTGAGATTGGCTACAGCTTCCAAGCACCACTTTGGGGGGTGGGGGAAATGTTCAGGTATCTTCTTATATGGCCCTATAAAAATACCAGCAGAGGTTGAAAGATGAATAGTGGCATAACCCTATAATTAATGTGTAGACCTCTGTGTGCAGCCCAATCCAATTAAAACACTCTCTGCTCCATGTTTTCATGACGTGATTGCTGCACAGTCTCTGAACTCTACTTGTCTGTGATAAAACAGGTTCTCCGGCCAGCAAATAGAAGCAAGAGACACCACCCCTACCCCGCCAGCCCACCCAAATGGATGTCATCCATAATCCCAGGAGGCCAGTACGGCAGAATTATTTCTATATAGCATCAATTTTTATTATTTCCTAAATTTTTGTTGTCCAATAGAGCAGCTAACTGGAAACTTGCATGCTATGCCGACAAGGAACTCAGTGGTGATTTTCAAATTGAGGCACAGAATCAAAGCTTCATGGGCTGAGCAGAAACTGCCCTTGGCAAGTCCAATGGCTTGAAATACCTGGAGAAAGAGGCAGGCTCAACTATTTTGGCTCTTCTTCTCTGGACATTAGTGATGGTTTTCAGACAGGGCCTTTCTCCCTTCTGCACAAGTTTTTCCCTTCTCTAGTTAAAGGTATAATTCACATTTAAGCCACTGTAAGAACGTATCTGATAGCCAAGCAAGTTCCAGTATTTATTTCTTACCCTTCCCTAGATGAAGATGTATTGTTCTGTAAGGAAATAGGATATAAAAAGGGGGGGAATAAAGGAAGAAGTATTGAAAACAACCCATCAATTAAATGCTCTCCAATGGTAAGAAAAGCTGTTTGATGGTGATTGTTTCAAATGGGTGAATTTAACCTGCTTTACTACTGTACAGGACTGTGGGCCTGGAGCAGTCACACTGCCTCCTGGCTTACTGAGTCAGAATCTGGATTCCTACAAGGCCCCCAGGTGATTCCTATGCATAGTAAAATTAGAGAAGAATTGCTGTTCATGTCAGAATTTAGTAAAGAAATATTAAGATGGTAATTGTTTACACGTTTGAGATCTCTTTGCTTCTCAGAATTTTTCTATTTCACTGCTTTGCCATAATTTTTTAAATTCTGGATGTTTCCAGACAGCAGATACCCACACAAGTCACGGCTCTCGTCCTCCAAGGTTACACCGTCCTGGATTGTCACTCGGGCCGCTCAGCTCAGGTGCTGCGTTTGGGTCAAGTTTGCAACCTGACTTCTGACACACAATGTGGGGAGGTCTGCCGTGTGCAGTACCTGCCTTGCTGGTGGCCACATGGATAGAAACAGAAGGCTTTTTCCTGCTGGGCCATCAGACTCTCAGTTTTCACCTACTTTGCACTTTGGAAATGCATGAGTCCCATGAGTTTTTCCAGACACGCACTGTGTGTCCGTACAGCAGGCAGCACAGCAGGTGGCCTTGGCAGTGCCACCCTGGGCTGTCCTCCTCCCCAAGGGGTACCTGGCCCCACTCTCCAGCCACTGCTGTATAGATGGCCTGCCCTGCGCTTGCCTCAAAAGAAGGGTCCACGCTTCCATTGTCCCCACTGGTAATATCCAAGCCTTCCAGGGTCCAGGAGTTCTGTTTTCACAGGCACCCCGGAGTCTGGCTATTTCTCTTCGATGTATCTGGGCCGTTTCAGGCCTGCGTTGAGCCAGAAAGCTTGTTTGGAATAGTTTCTCCTTACAGAGCTTTGGCCCTTCTGTTTCTGGTGCCATTTGAAACCAGGAGGGTAAAACTGGGAAATTTAAACAAACCCTCTTTGAATGTTAGAAATGTTCAGCATTCGAGGTTTGGTCAAATGATAGAAAGCAGTGTGAGTTAGTATTGAACTTTCCAGCTGGTTTCTCCAATCATGAGGCTAATTTTAGCATGAGGAAGGGGAAAATGGGGAAACTAAAGTTACTCGGAGTTAGAGAAGCCAGAATTCACATTGGTTTGATAGTGTAACATTCACTTCAGTTTAGGTGGCAAATGATCCCAACCGTCCCAGGTTGGAGCAGAGTGCTGGCTTTAAGAACTTTGGATTCATACTGTAATTGCGACTTTTTTTTCCTGGTAGTAGGCAAATTAACAAACTTCCACAGAACAATTTAGAAGCCAGAGCATAATGCCACCTTTTACACTAGGATGCTAGGAGGATCAGTGACTGTTTGGACTGCAGAGTTGTTTTAAATGGACCGAGAAAGAGACCTTTGGTCACATTTCAATATGGAAACATTCACCATGTCAGTTTTGATATTTGCACTTCCCAGTTACCATAAATGTGTGGCATTAGGGCTTTAAATTAGAAGAACGAGTTGAAAATAGTCTCTGCAGTTGATGCTAGAGAAATCCTAGGTGTTCATCACTTAATTGTTGAAGTCAACGTTCTTTTGAAATAATACCTTTCAGTTCTACAGATGTTGGTTAAATTCTTTCAGCACCTCAAAATGTCAAGAAAAATCCCAGCTCTGCTAAGAAACAAGATATTGGGGCTTGAAATTGTGTGGCATGT